GGTTTCTTCTCTTTCGGCTTCTCTTTCGGCTTCTGCTGCTTGCTTTCTCGGCTTTTTGCTGCTGCTGCTGGCATCCCCATGATGCCGCCTTTAAAAGCCCGTCTTAGCCCAGGTGAATCACATCTACCTATACCCACACCCTATTCCAGGTGCCCGCCATCAGGCATGCATTCAGGACAAGGATCCATCATCTATCCTGATGGTGGAAGGTCAGAAAAGCCTGACATTTTTCCTTACCCTACAGCAGGTTATTTTTTTTTTTGAGAATCTGGGGATGGCCAGTGGACCTTGATGGCCAAAAGCAGCCTGTGTATGCCCAGCAGCCAGGCAGAGAGAAAAACCATCTGAGAAGGCAAAAGCTGGTGCTGATGCTAAGTTGAGAAGCCCTGAGTGGCTGTTAAGCAGCCCGAGTATGCTGAAGCCCTGTGAGTCTCGTAAAATCACCTGTGGGCGATGCCCTGCTCATTGTCAAGTGAGGGTGAGGCGCTGAGGAACCCGTCCTTGGGGGATGGGTGGGGAACGTGGCTTGGGGTGGAGGCCAATCCGAATGTAGAGTTTGGATCCCCAACCCATGTGCTTGTGCAGTGGGTTGTCCTGAGTTCAGGGGTCTGCGAGTCTCATTGGTGGCTATGGAAGCCGAATGTTGGAGTGACTGCAGACAGAAATCCTGAGGGTTGGCGATTACCCCAATAGTAGAATAGAATCACCAATCCCAGAGTGTGTGAATACTGGGGGGTGGATGCTGTGTGTGGCTTGTAGCCGAGACTACAGCCAGAGAAGTCCAGGAAGCCTGACGGCTCCTGGTGTGTTACAGTAGATGTTGTGAGTGGTTTCCCTCCCTTGTATGTGCAGTGCCTTTGGCAGCAGAAGTGGTGGATCATCTGTTGGTACCAATAATTGTCTTTTGCCACTAGGTTGGGGCCCTGCCTGGACTTATTTGTGTTCTGTTGTATTTTGTTGTTATATTGTGATGTATTTCATTTACTTTCGTGGGCCATGGCTGCAGTGTTCATATTGCCAAGAGACATGTGTTTATGACTTGTATATAGAGACTATATGGCAGAAAACCCTGAGGGGGTGGACTGTAGGGTAAGGAAAAAATGTCAGGCTTTTCTGCCCTCCCGCCATCAGGATAGATGATGGATCCTTGTGGTCCTGAATGCATGCCTGATGGCAGGCACCTGGAGTAGGGTGGGGCATAGGTAGATGGGATTCACCTGGTCTAAGACTGTGCTTTTAAGGGCGGTGTCATGGGGATGCCAGTAGAAGTCAAGAAGCAGTAGAAGCTGAAAGAGAAGCTGAGAAAGAAGCAGCAGAAGTCGAGAGAGAAGCCAAAGAAGCAGAAGCTGAGAGAAGGCCGGAGAGTCCAGAGTGATGACCTGCTGGGGGCTGGGAGGCCTGCCAGCCTCCCGGCCCCCCAGCACCCCTGACTGCTGTGTACCTGGTAATCCCGATAAAAATCTGCAAAACCACTGAGGACTCTGACTCCTCCTTTACCCGGTCTGCATGGGATCCTAGAAAATCTGCACTGTGACCATTCCTGTCCTTTACAGCAGGAAAAACATACTGTGAGCAGGACCTTCCCGGTAGCCCAGCGGTGGAGCACTGGGTTGCAAAGGTGCTCTCAGCCTCTGCAGCACCGGTTCGATCCCGGCTGCTGGGTGAGGGTCCCACATTGTGCGCAGACTTCTCCTGCCCACTGCTCCCCTCAGCAGTGTACTTCATCAGTCTGCCTGTTCTTCCCGCTCTGGCTCTGGTGAATTCTCTCACCCTTCCGTGCTTCTGACTGTACCCACTGCTTGTATAAATAAATAAATCTTTAAAAAAAAAAAAAGCATACTGTGAGGAAGGAAGTGAAGTCTGTGAAAGTCTGTTGCTAAAAAGAATGTTGATCCTTATACTCCGCCTGAGATAGTGTAGCAGCAGGAGGGGCACATAGCAAACCTAACCCTTTCAGGGCAGCTCTTTCTGACCATTTGTGTCTCTGCAAGTGTCCTTTATTCTTCTTCCCTTTTATAATAAACCTGCCTTTTGGATATAACTAATGGCTCTGTCATGGAGAAACACACATGGGAACTAGCCAGTGCTGATGAAAGGGGAGCTCTGGTGAAATTGTAACAGGGTGGTCCCCAGCAAAAGGGGAGGTTCCAGGTTCCCTGCTCCACCCATGGGAGGGTGGAGCTAAAGAGAAGAAAAGAAGCTACAGAGTAGACTGAGGAAGGAAGGAAGCAGGATGGAGCCAGAAGGAGACCTGGAGGAGGCACATGGAGCAGAGAGACACGTGGAGAAACTGTGCTTGCCTTTTGGTCGTGGACTGGGTGACACAGATGTGGGTGAGAGGCCTGTGGGGAGGATAACAATGGCAGCTTTTATCTTGGTTTTGCTCTTTTTCTCCCAGACTTGTCTTGCTGCTTCTGACTCTTTTCTACGGGTCCCTGCCAGAAGGTGCTTTAGACTCTTGGCAGGCTTTTGGGCCTTGCTGTGAGCCAACCCTGTTTGGCTGGACATTTACCCACGAGGGGATGGGTAACACTGGGTGCTTGATTTAGAAACTATATTCTCTGTCTTTTCTGTATTGTTCACAAATTGTATTACAGTTTCTTTCCATTAAAGGTCCTATATGTTTTGTTTTGATGTGGTGGATGGCAGAACATATTTAGAGCAGTCAGGTTTGGAATAAAGAGTTCCCCTCTCCCTACCTGTAACAATCATTACTAGAGTGAAA